CCCAGAAGCTGTTCCTCACCCCACCGGGATGGAGGCGGCTGCGGCTTGGGCTGAGCTGGGCCAGGTCTGAGCCCCTCTCCGGCGGGTGGCCCCTGTTGGGAGCGGTGGTGTCTGGGGATGGAAAGCCCTTGGGCAGCGCTGGGTACCCCGGATGGTCCCTATGATGGTCCAGGACATCCTGGCAAGGAGCCTCAGGCTACGGGACCCAGTGCTCAGCTGGGGTCTGCCAGGGGTCTCGTCCTGCCGGGCTGTCCACACCTGCACGCTGATGCCACCCAAGGGAATTGGCCGAGGCTGGAGATAAGGGGTAAGAGCTGCAGAGAGCAGGAGATAACGTTATCTCTGTGCCTGCTGCTTTCCCTATTTCCAAGCTGTCCCGAGCGCTGATAAGGTGACAGCAGCTTAGACACATGGGTAGATATCTTCCTGGCTGAGCTGCAGCAACGCGGGGCTATTCCTGGGGTGCCTGAGGGGAAACACCAAGTCCGGACCCTCCTGCAGCCCCCACGCTCCCACCCCTGAGTCTTCCCCCAACGTGTCCCAAGGGCTGTGCCAGCTCCCACCTCCCCCATGTTGACTGTACACAGGGCTGTATTTGGGGAGCGCCCGCGCTGCTTCGCCGGGGCAGCTCACCTGCCGTGGGCACGGGCTGCCGGGGGCGGAGGTGACCCGAACCGGAGCTGCCCTGCCTGCACTGCCCGGCTCTGCCTGCTCCCTAGGCACCCTGCCGGACCCCGTGCCCCTCGCCTGGGGATGTGCACACACACCTCTGGGTCCAGCAGAAGAGTGGCTGGTGGTGCAGCAAAGAAAAAATTTCCTCTCGGGGTCACCTCCAGCCCCCATTTACCCTCTCCTGGGTGATGAGACACTGGGCTACGGGCACCCTCCCAGGCCTGAGCATTTCCCCTGTCTTATTTTCTGGTGGATATTCCTTCTAGTGTGTGCAGAAGAGAGCGAAACGCAGCTGCAGCCCCATCAGGCAGTGGAAGGAAGCCATCCTCCCCCAGCCCGGATGTCCTCTCGGGGTCACCTCCAGCCCCCATTTACCCTCTCCTGGGTGATGAGACACTGGGCTACGGGCACCCTCCCAGGCCTGAGCATTTCCCCTGTCTTATTTTCTGGTGGATATTCCTTCTAGTGTGTGCAGAAGAGAGCGAAACGCAGCTGCAGCCCCATCAGGCAGTGGAAGGAAGCCATCCTCCCCCAGCCCGGCCATGCATCTGCGGCAAGAGAAGCAGCTCCTTAATCAAACCGCGCTCCCCAAACCCCGTCAAGAGCTGCAAACACCTCCAGGGCCAGCGAAGGTCCCTGGGGATGTCCTAGTCCTTCTGCTCATGCCAAGAAGATGTTGCAGGAATGGTCCCAGCCCTCGCGGGGTTCCCTGGGTGCTGGGGTGGCATCCAGGACCAGACACATCAGCAGAAGAGCTGATGCCTCCAAAATCCTTAACCTGGCCCAGGACTTCAGCGGCACGGTAGGATGAAACCCAGGCACGGTTGTGCTAAAACACCAGCGCAGACCAGTTGCGCTCCCACCCCCCGGGGCTGCTGCGGCTCTGCTGGCAGGGAAGGTGTCCCAGCTGGGTGAAACCACAACTTCCCCCTCCCATCATCATCCACCTCCAGCCCTGCAAGAGCCTCTTGAGGTTCTTCTGCCGGTCCCTGCTCAGGCCACCGCCACCCCTGGGCTCGGGTCCAGCTCCCACTTCTGGTGGTGTGGGGCCTCCGTTCTGCTTCTCCTTCTGGCGGGAGAGGAGGCGGCTGTGGTGGAACGTGGCGTGAACGAACGCCGATGCTCTCCTCGGGCGGG